CGACTGGATTATGAGAACCTCGACATCTGAAGGGAAACACGGAATACAATGGACAGCTCAAAATCAATTAGACGATTTGGACTTTGCAGATGACCTGACCCTCCTATCGCATACAAATGAACAAATGCAGATCAAGATAGCCAATGTAGTAGCAGTCTCTGCATCAGTAAGTCTCAACATCCACAAGGGGAAAACCAAGGTCCTCAAATTCAAAGCGGGGAACAGCAATCCAATCACTCTTGATGGCAAAGCTCTGGAAGATGTAGAATCTTTCACATACCTGGGAAGCGTCATCGATGAACAAGGAGGCTCAGATGCAGACGTAAAGGCAAGGATTGGCAAAGCAAGGGTCGCATTCCTACAATTGAAGAACATATGGAACTCAAAACAACTTTCAACCAATATCAAAGTGAGAATCTTCAATACCAACGTCAAGGCAGTTCTACTGTATGGAGCTGAAACTTGGAGAACCACAGCAACCACAATCAAGAAAGTACAAGTATTTATAAATAGCTGTCTACGCAAGATACTCAACATTCATTGGCTGGATACCATCAGCAATAGCCTACTGTGGAAGAGAACAAACCAACTCCTAGCTGAATTGGAAATTAGGAAAAGACGATGGAAATGGATAGGACATACATTACGCAAATCGTCAAACTGCATCACGAAGCAAGCCCTAACTTGGAATCCTGAAGGGAAGGACAAAGAACACATTACGTCGGATAATAGAAGCAGATATGAAAAGGATGAATTACAACTGGAAAGAGCTGGAAAGGATTGCACAGGACAGGGTTGGATGGAGAATGCTAGTGAGCGGTCTATGCTCCTTCACGAGAAGTAACAGGCGTAAGTAAGTAAGTAAGTATTATTATTATTATACACTCCGTTATTGTTGTTAAACCTTTTATATACATAAAAAACAAGATACACAATTTTTTTTCTTCTCTTTACTACAAGAGAAACTTTGTTTGTAAATATGTATACACGTATGAATTTTTTATACAACATTTGTTTATCCTTTTCGTTGTGTAATTTTCTTTTCCCTCTAAATCATATAGTTTTACGTCGGGCATACTTCCACTGACGCATGCCATAAGGTAGGAGTTTTATGGTGACGTATATTCAATGCGTTTTGTTAAAGACAAAATAAAAACCGTAGTTTCTCTCTAGTTTGTCACACTTTATATGTAAAAACATTTTTATTCAATATCTGTTGTTTTTCTGTACTACATATTAATGACGATGATAATTGTTTCGATGACCAATATACAATTTTACTACCGCGAGGTTTAAAGATTGTAGACCGCTCTCTACACCGTTTGTTCTTCTACTTTATTGACCACGGTTTTTGATTGAAGACTATAATGGTGCTATAACATCCCTTTAACCCTTCCGAACACCACGTTGGAATTCTGGCACGGATTATTATATTATAATACTACTGGACGTAATCATTCTCAATACGCCGTTGGTGCAATTACTTGCAGAGGGACCTTTGTTAATCGAGTGAACTTATTTGTGGTTGTTGTTCTCACGAAGCAGCTCACAAGTAACATTTATTCTACAGTAACTGTTATTGTCTGTTTGTATAATATACCATTTGTATCGTAACTATATTTCATTACTCTTGGTTTTTACTCACAGACGCGCGCTTTGGTTTTTTTACCATTAATTCTTTTTTAGTATATTATTATTAAACCAGTGTATTGATATACCGTTTATAAGCTCCTTTTTGTTGGGAACCACCCCAGTCTCAATTAGATGCAACTGGCTGTGGACAAATGTTTAGAATCTTTTTGACAGCTGGGACTTTTAGTTCATCAGACACCAACTCTGCTTGTATGTTTTCTTGTTAATAAACTAGACGCAGATGTTTGGGAATACTTAAACGGGAGCAAAATAATAAAAGCATTGCAATACGGTACTAAGCCCATGTTATGCTTTGCGCAAGTAATAGTAGCTGACCTTATCTAATATTCATGAACTCAAGTTAAATCACAACTGCATAAATTCTTTGTTAAAAAACATGTAATTTGTTTATTTATCTATTTCACATTTCTGGCTAAATTCATCATCATTTTTTTCATTTAGAATGCAACAGGAGTGAGCCTTCACAGACCCTGAAAACTGTTTCGCCCTTGGAACTGTTTACGGGAGACCCAACGAACAGCAGATTAAAAAAGAATGCTAAACGTCCATTTTAGTCTCACAACCACTTCCAGTATTTTTTGACTTCTTTTACTCTTTCGTTTGGAAAAAACAACAAAAACTGCAGCTTAACATTACCAATACACGTTTAAACGGGGACTTGGTTTAAACCTTTGTTTGATATTCGATTCTTAATGAAAGTTCTTGAATAAATTTTGAATCTAATGCTACTTTGTCTTATCTACTTAATCGTTGCAAGAAACTTGTGATAAGCGAGCCTCTCAGCACCTAGTTCATGTGTTCAAATGGTTGTGGACGGAATGAGAGCTTTCGCTTAACAGGCTTCCGTGTCTAATAGCAGAGGGTCACCAAAACCTCCAGGCAGGAACCTAGGTATGTTAACAATAAAAGCGGAAAGAGAAATTGGTAAATCATAGTATGATACTATCCTTAATCCTTAAGAATAGATCCACTTGCCTCTTAAAGGACTCCTGGGAAGTCGCTTGGACTAGCTCGGCAGGCAGCGGATTCCAGCATTTGACAACTCCTAAGGAGTAGAAGTTGCGTCTACAGTCCGTTCTGCTATGTTGTCTCCAGTTTTTGGGTGTTACCTCTTAGGTTAGTGTTGGAACCAAGCGTAAGTAGGTGTTTGAGAGTGTCCAGAAGTGTTAAGGATACTGTAAGGCATTAGAAGGTCACCTCTAAGACGTTTATACTCTAATGGGTAGAGGTCAAGTGATTGGAGGCGCTCTTCTTAAGTTGATTTGCTGCATATCTTCGTCATTTTCTTGAGGAGTCTACAGACTCGAGTCCTCTCACAACTTATTCTAGCCATCATGAGTTGCCACGGCAACTGATGGATGGACACGCGTTATATATCCTAACCGTCCCTGAGTCTAATCCCATAGCTTCTTATTCAAATGTCATATGATAAGCAAGTAATGTCTCTGCCGACACTAATGGAACACGAGTAACTCAAAGGCACCCTGTATGGTACCTTACATTGGTCTACGCACTCACTTAGCTCTTTAGTGAGAATATTATTACAGTCGTGCTAAAAATCCATGAACCCCCCTACCTCCATCAAAACAAATAAGTCTGTATTTGCTGCATATAGCAATTTTATTTTCAGAAGTAAGATATAACAGTTAGAATTACAGTAAAATGGCAGTATCCAGCAGATGCACGTGGTATCGATTAACTGGAATATGTTTGACATCATAAACGATGGAATTAGCTTGATGCAATTACCGAACATGATGTTGTACACTTTCAAAAAGAAATAACTAGCGAATTCTTTAGGTTAAAAATACACATTGATATGAGTGTTTTCATCAATTCTAGATTAGCATATCGAAATTAAACAGAAACACACAAATATATCAGGTTAATTAATGCGTCGAAGAGCGTCTTGATATGATGTTATTTTCACTATTTCCTGGAAAATCATTTACTTTTCAGTGGTGAATTATGACTAGTTATCTGTTCTGTGCATTTTACAGTTATCATGTAGATTAGACTGAAACACGACTAACCTGTATGTAACTGGATGTGGATATATGTCCATACTAATTATATGCTCATGGTATGTTTCTTCAAAATATTGCATATTTACGTTAGTGTTGTAAACTCGGTGAAAAAATACCGACCTTTGAATTTGATTTATCAATATCAGAATGTGTTACTCACCGTCATCATTCAAAATTTCTCTACATTTTGCTTGATCTCAGCTCTATTCGCTTTTGAGTTTATCATCACTCTCTCAATAAGATACTTGAGTACATACAGTTAACCCATGATATATCGATTTCCGCGTGTCAGGCTTCGAGTTTTATTATGCTGACCAGATACTTGTACTACGTGCATGTCGGTATTTGTTATATTCAGTTCTTTTATAAGCACAACTTCTTTTGTGACTTTCAGTGTAAATGTTCGTTCCATAGTTTAAACTATCTAAATTCTTATCCCATTAATTAGATTCGATTTGGCTGCACGAGTTCGTGCTTTGGTCAAAACAGATTTAGATATCCAAATCAGTATGGATGCTGTTAAGTATCATTTGAGTCATTTTATGGATTCGCGTAAAACACTGTGTGATCGATTGCGCACGATCGAAGCCAGAATGGAAAGTTGCCGACAAGATGGTAAACCTTATGATATGTATATTGAAGAAAGTGAACAGTCTAACTGAATCGATTCAATGTCAAACACAAGTGATTAGCGATTTGCAACAAAACTTATGGATGCCGGTGAAAGATCGTCGACAGATGCCTCCGGTCCACCTGATTCGACTGGTCAAATGCTCTCATCTCGTTTATCCCAACTACACAGCATCCAAGAGGCACGAATAGCTTTGAAATATCTATTCAGACAAGTAGGTTGTACTTTTTATTCTTTTCTAACCAGACTGACCAATTGATGAATCTGTCCAAATTGTCAAGCTACATTTGAATAGTCAGTTGGAGATTGTAAATCATCATTATCATTATTTTCTGATATGGATGTACAAGTTTGTTGTTTGTTTAAATTATACGTTTCATTAATCAGTGTGTGAGTCATATGTTTATTTTTGTTGTTCTTCAATCAAATTTGTAGTGCACGAGTTTTACGTTTGGGACGTAATATAACGGGAAATCCAGATGGTGGTCCCATAACAGTTGCAGGATTTTCGACTGAACTGACTATTTGACTGTTTTGCGATGATGAATCTGAACGATTTTTGCGTAGACCTAATACACAGTGACAATGTGATGGGACACACGGACGACCAGAACGTCTACAACTACATCGTGCTTGACATGTTCCTCGGAATTTACATCGACGTTTATGTGAATCTGCATCAGATTTTGACTGATTAATGGAAATAAAAATGAATTTATTTAATAACTATTTAACATCACTATGAATATGTACAAATATTGTTAAGTAAATACTTCGACATTAAACTGTAAAGTGAACTCACTCTTGAATTGCCCACCCAGAACACACTTTATATCACATCTCAATTCACGTTTCCATGTCAAAGAGTAAATGGTTGACAGTTATGATTAAACTTACAGGAAGTATGAAATAGCTCACGTCAGAATCATAAAGAGATAGAATATGTACGATATATGTATACCTGATTTCAATCACAGAGACCATTACGTTCTAAGAAAACAGTTTGGGCTTATCTTAGCTGATGTATTCATGTCATATGTGGGAAAATATGACGAGCGAGCTTATTAGTGCGGCAACTCTATATAGAAGATGCATGGATGATATTCTAATTATATGTGATAAGGATTTTGATGTTTACCGATTATTGGATAAATTCAATGGTGTTCAAGATGATATTGTGATGACATATGAATCAGAAAGTAATGGCCAATTAGCCTTTTTAGACATACTTTTAAGTCGAAGGGATGATGGCACTATTAGACGGTCAGTGTGAAGGAAACCAATCTGGACGGGACAATACTTAAATTTCCATAGTTTCTGTCCACTGCAATACAAAAGAGGTCTGGTTAAGTGTCTCTTTAAGAGGACTTTATTATTTATTTATTTTACCACATAGATATTGGTACAAGGAGGCACCAAATACATATGCGCCACACAAATCTCGTTCGATGTGTGAGGGCTGTGATACTGCCTGGGTGCCCAAACCGAAGCAGGTGGTTTTCTTAGTAGGCCACTCCCCGAGCCTTCGATCTGAAGGTCTGATCCACAAGGCAGTGGAGCATCGTAAGGAGATGCAGTCCCATGGAAGCCGGTGACCAACAATTGGTCCATACGCCATTTGTTCCTTCAGGATACTGGAGCCCATGTGCACCATTGATTTGGAATCCGGTTAAAGCGCCGGACGTTCGCTTTTCGTCTTCTCATTTTCGTGAGGAACACCCCCGCCACGAGAAGGCAGTGAGTAGGACTTCTCTGACAGAAGCTATATACGCGTGACCATGTGAGAGCATTTCGAGAGGAAGAGCGGACTCTCCCCACTCTCGGCCGTACCAGGGCCTTTGGAGGCTCATAGAATTTGTACCTCTGACATGGTGGAAAAAGATGAAAAGTCACTGACTGATACATTAATAGCAAAAGCGCAAAAGTCAGTTGATGCCAAGACCTCTAATTTATTCAGTTCCAAAGAAAAAAAGTTTATATCAATCTACCATATAGAAGCGAATCCAACAGCATAGTTTTAAGACAGAGATTGAAAGCAGCCATCGAGAATACCTATTATTACAATTTCTTATTCTTTTTCTCCCCCTTTGTTACTCTTTCACTTGGACTTTCATTTAATTGACCTTTATTAATTTCCATATAAAAAATGCCCTGACAAGTATATGTGTGACCAGATTGTTCGAATGTATAGAGCAAATACATCACATTTTTCTCATTGTTCTATCGAAATTTATAAAAGGGACTAATTGCTTTAGAATTCTGTTAGATAAAAATTTCCATGACCCTTATGAAGAACTACAGTAGAAATGCTATTGGCTTCTATCATCAGCTAATTCAGGTAATACCTCAGACCACTTAGTCATAAGCACTGACAGTTGCTAGCCCTAAACAGATTTCTTTCTAGTTATGGCTCATATACTATTCGGTAGACTAACTACTAGTGTTCAACCTAACTCTTTTTGGTAATTAGTTGAAACTGAAGCAGAGGCCCATTTTAGTATACCAATCCGTTCAGGATGAGACATTGACCGGCCACCAAAGCCCAAGATATGTCCAGGCTAAGAGGACACCACAAGGTGACACATCGGTACCGCAAGTTGTTGCTGATCAGGAAACAGTTGAGTCAGTGCACAGCTGCAACAGGAGATTACAGTTATCTGACCTGAGATTAACAAGCCACAACTAGCACCCGAAGCAAACTTTATGTAGCTAGAGACCTGTCCTGTGCATTTGAATCTTCAGTCAACACTATAGTAACCATCAAATACACTTTTTTGAGATCATCTAATTGGAAGCAAAACTCATCCTTAATAACATTCGGGCTGTAATCTATTGTCACCTTGATAAAATCCATTGGGAATCCATAATCGGTGAGAGCAGTGAAAATTTAGACCGGTCGGCAGCTTGAGTTTGTTTAGAAGTAACTTTTATCATAAGCAAGCTGCTATATGAGCTAGGAAATAAGAATTAACATTGAATGAAAAGAAGCACTTGAATTAAATGGATAAAAACTATCTTTTGTGTTAGTAATAAAATGGAAAAAGTATATCATCAAATCCATCATAACTATTCACGATCGTATTTGCGAGTCGATTCAGTTATTGATCGAAAAATGTTTTATTAAGGAGCGTCGTCAACCTTTCAATCTGAAGGTCTAATCTACAAGACAGGGAAGAAAAGTCAGGAGATGTAATTCTATGATACCTAGGACCAGTTCATGAGTCAGTCAAATCCTCAAGACTTTGAAGTTTATTTGAATTATTGGTTTGAAATAAGGCTTTTTTTAAATCTTTTACATGGATCCTACATGACTAACGAAGAAACTGAAGACAATCAAACAAAGAATTGGGATTAGGCCGTGAAATCACTAACTGTTGGAGTGAACCACGTTAATGAACACAGACTAACAGATTGTCGACCAATCAGTCATATGCAACGTGTGCTGGGTTCAGGTTGCCCCAACAATTAATCACAAGATGAAATTACCAAAAAAAATCCAAGTAGAAGAAGTGGTAGTAATAGTGACAGTATTATACCGTATAAAACCCTTATAAAAAGTGACAAGAGAAGAATGAATAGGTAGAATGAAAAATCATATGACAACTTTAAAACCTAAGATCTAAGAGAAAACAAACAGTAAGAGTATCCGCTTTATAACAACCAATTCTGAGCCACATCACCCCAAAAGCCCTGGTATGGCCGAGAGTGGGGTGGACCCGCTCGCCTCCTCAGATAACCATCTGCTTCGGTTTGTGCACACGGGGAGAATCACAGCCAACACAAATATTATCACTACTGTATTTCTAGACCATTCATAACTTTGACACTCGACCATAGCTGCTACCTTGACGCAGTGGTCGGGCTTGCCTATCGTGATGACCCAACCGAGCTATATTGGCTGGAACATATTTCCTGTAGATTCTACCATGACAGGCAGGTCGATTGGAGAACGGTAAGACTAAAAGCAGCAACTCAAGGTCGGAGGGCGAAGTCGTATTGCTGACTGTAGAGCGGTGTGATAGCAGTAAGTTGTTTCTCTCGGACAACCAACATCTGCAGCGATGCGGCCTTCTCACAAGGAAAAAAGGGGTTAGAAAAGGTCGACCTTAAAATGTCACGCCTCACCTTACCTCATGGATTTCCGTCTCCGGAGGTAGGGCCATTTGAAGAACGGAGCTAACACGTCAAAAACCTCCCACAAAAAGGCCGTGCGCGACCGGCTTCAAGCAATTGTGGATGTCACTCCATCAACGATCGAACAAATCAAGAGTGGGAAAGCAGAAGGACCTGTAAATATACCGGCTGGGACGCATTATAGTGTCATTGATACTTCGTTCCGTTCGCCGATTTCTCAGCGATGTCGTGATCAATTCAAACACAAGTTTTAAAATTATGCCAAACGAATTTATTTGTGTAGTAGCATACTGGATAACGCTCCCCTTCAACAAGGCACATATGGTATAGGATTTTTGCATCGACTTAAGAACTTCACAAATGCATTCGAGTACTGGTGTTTCAGTAGAAAACTTATCATTCCAACTTACATTCTCCTCAGATTTTCGTTTCTCTGCATTCAGTTGGGATTCCAATTCACATATTTGAGTTTCTAAATTAATCTTAGAAACTTCAGATGACGATGCCTATGAAATAAATAAAAACGGCAAGAATAAGCAAAATAAAGAACTGTTGACTAGTCAAATCAGATCACTACATTTTTATAGAGAATAAATAAGTGGAATTCATATCCTATTGGCATTACTTTGCGAAGCCTGTTTACAGAATCGACATTCTGCTGTAACTTACATCATTAAATTAATAAACCATATAGCACGGACGTATGTTGTTATATGTCTACCCAGTGACCACTTATATTCAAATGTAGCTTGACAATTTGGACAGATTCATCAATTGGCCAGTCTGGTTAGAAAAGAATAAAAAGTACAACCTACTTGTCTGAATAGATATTTCAAAGCTATTCGTGCTTCTTGGATGCTATGTAGTTGGCATAAACGAGACGAGAGCATTTGACCAGTCGAATCAGGTGGACCGGAGGCATCTGTCGACGATCTTTCACCGGCATCCATAAGTTTTTGTTGCAAATCGCAAATCACTTGTGTTTGACATTGAATCGATTCAGTTAGACTGTTCACTTCTTCAATATACATATCATAAGGTTGACCGTCTTGTCGGCAACTTTATTTTGGCTTCGATCGTGCATAAACGACCACAAAGTGTTTTACGCGAATCCATAAAATGACTCAAATGATACTTAACAGCATCCATACTGATTTGGATATCTAAATCTGTTTTGACCCAAGCGCGAACTCGTGTAGCCAAATCATATCTGATAAATGTGATAAGAATTTAGACAGTTTAAACTATGGAACGAATGTTTACTCTGAAAGTCACAAAAGAAGTTGTGCTTATAAAGGAACTGAATATAACAAATACCGACATGCAGCTGGGTGATTTAATCATGGGGCTTTCACAGTTTTTCTTGATAACACAAACTTCAGATAGAGGTGAGCTATCGGAATTTCTCTAAATGACCTATCCTGTCAGCTTTGCTCTTGATTGTTGTCAGTCTTTGATCGATCATTCCTTATGTGTTCACCTTGATTTATTATTGCTTCAAATGAGTGATAAATTGATTCTATTTTGAAAAATCTCTTGACTACTGATTGACCTGAGAACTGAGATTCTAAATAATTTTCTGGCCTTCCTTGTGTTGCCTCAGTCCAAGATACCGTTCCACAGTCAAACGCGTATACGCAATTGCCTTCATACATTGACGTAAATGAAAATACGTCGTGACCTTTAACACGTAACTGGTGTTCATGTAAACAAAGAGTAAGATCGGGGCTATCGTGCCAGATGTACTTTTTATTACAGTTGGAGCAGTCTATTTTTTACATGTTATCCAACTTATTTTCTTAGATCATTTCATTTTATCGTTTGTATAATATTTATCGAAATTATTTTGCAGGTTTATGAGCCATACCTATACACTAGAGAGCCTCAAAAATCAGGTTGTACTTTCTGATGTCCTTCATATATAGTAAAATAATCGGTTTGTAGATTTCTATATAAGATTTTGAGCTTGTTCATGAGTTTTATAGATATTTCTTAATATTGCGTGGACAGCTGTCCTTTGGGAAAATCACCAGATATTTTTCTACATCTAGCTTCTTGACGACTGATTCCTACTATGACTAACATGAGCATTGTACACGGGTTCTAAACTAGGACTAAATGACTGAATCCCCGATTTTTCGAGTTAATAATGTTTGTGATAAACAGTAAATTTGAAGATATTTGACCAAAATTTATGCCAGTTTTAAACAATCATATAAAGCAGATAGACGTGGGATATTATAGTTTGTATCATGGCCTATCCTTAGATGGACAATCATTAAAAAAAGCCAGAAAGTATTTGAAAGTTGTTTGGCACTAGAATGGGACGCAATGAGCATCCACGACCACACCGAGGATTAGGCTTAAGAACTTAAAGTCTCGTGACAAGTGCTTAGCCTTTGGACTAGTCCTTATTCAACAGTTTTTAATTTTTCATATTATTCAATAAGCGATATTGAGCAACTATCTAGCAACACCTTATAACCTATACAAGTGGACCCGACTAATCCACGACCTTCACTGGAATTCTGGGAACTACCTCTCGACGTTAGTCGCTAGTGAGAACAAGATTGTTATTATTAGTATAAGGGACAAATGTACATTCATTCACAAAATAAAATACTTTCTTACTTTTTAGCATTGTTCCCTTCAGATACACATTTATCACGTCCATTTCTAATAGCCTTTTGACGTAACAGTCAGTCAGCTACAACGTAGGACCAGGCACATATGTGCATCGGTCCAGGTTGCCATACCTCATTAGCACAGCAAGATGAACACCGGATTCATAGGAGTGGTTAGGTCAAAGGTGGTAATATATAGGAGAAAGATTGCAATAAGGATATAGTATAGGAAGAAAGAATTAGTTCGTAGAAAGAAAGATGTGAAGTGATTTTAATCTCTTAGTTTAAGGGAAGACAGAGAGTGTATACACCGACGCCATTGTGATCGATTCTGAGCCATGTCACCAAGAGTCTCCAACCATTGGTTACGAAAGTCACGCGGACCCCAACCAAGTAGTCTGCATCTACCAACATGGCTCAGACTAGAAGTTAGTGACTTCAGGCACTGATGCCACGTTTTGGTTTGGCCGCCCCTAACTTTCTTCCAACCATCCCCTACACCGGTTAGCATTGCACGTCGTGGTAATCGGTGTTCAGGCATACGTAATACGTGGCCCAACCATCTCAGTCGATGAAGATTCATAACCTCATCAACTGATTTACCATCATTCCCTAATACCCTGCGTCTAACCTCACTATTACTTACCCGGTGATCCCAGCAGATGCCAGCAATATTTCTAAGGCATCTGTGGTCAAATACTAGTAGCTTACGGGTGTCTTCTACTCTTAAGGGCCATGTTTCGCTGCCGTAAATTAAAACAGAACGGACTGCCGCGCAGTATACTCGTCCTTTTATTGATAGACGGATATCTCGCCTCCGCCAAAGGTGACGTAAGTTGGCAAAAGCCAAACGAGCTTTTCGAATCCGTGCTGAGATTTCGTCAGACACCAACCCATTAGGGCTGATCAGACTTCCAAGATAAGTGAAGTTGTCAACGCGTTCGACTACTTCACTCCCTATCCTTAGTTCAGGTGTTGACGCAGACCAGTCCTGAAGCAACAACTTGCATTTAGAGGGAGAGAAGCGCATCCCAAACATTCTGGCATTGTTGCTTAGTGCTACCAGAAGACTCTGCATTTTGTCAGCGTCTTCACCAAACAGGACTATGTCATCTGCGTATTCTAAGTCGATAAGTGGACCTCCTGGAAGGAGATCAATACCCGAGAATTCAGTCGACGAGAGTGTTATTTCCATCAATAGGTCTATGATGAAGTTAAACAAAAATGGAGAAAGTGGGCAGCCTTGACGGACACCACTTGAGGTTGCAAAAGTAGATGACAGTTCGCCATAAGCCCTGACTCGACTAGTAGTGTTCGAGTAAAGAGCCTTCACAAGGTTTATGTACTTCTGAGGTACGCCTTTCAATGACAGACACTGCCACAGAGTCTCGCGGTCTACAGAGTCAAATGCTGCTTTTAAGTCAAGAAAGACCACCATCGTCGGACGCCGATAGGTATGCCTGTGTTCTAGAACCTGACGAATGGTGAATATGTGGTCGATGCAGCCACGACCAGGTCTAAAGCCAGCTTGGTTCTCTCGTGTTTGTAGTTCACGAGTCTTAGTTAGGCGTTTGATAATTATCGAGGCCAGTATTTTAGATACTATGTTTGTTAAACTAATCCCTCTGTGGTTGTCACAGGATGATTTTGACCCTTTCTTATATATTGGGACGATAAGTGATTGCGACCAGTCAGATGGGATAACGTCTAATTCCCAGATCTTAGCTAAAATATTAGTCAACCTAATCGCTAAAATTGGACCACCATCCTTAAAGACCTCTGGAGCCAATCCATCTGGACCAGCTGCCCTTCCTCGTTTCAGATTAACTATAGCCTTTTGAACTTCAGCAAGAGTTGGGGGACCTACTTCAATGTTCCATTCACACTGTCTGGGAATGGAGGGTAGTTGTAGAGTAGCTGAAGGCCAGCTGAACTGTTCTCTAAAATGTTCCGCCCATCGTTCTAAACGTCTGGACTGGGAGCAGATGAGAGTATCATCTTTTTCCGAAATAATCTCACTTACACTTGACTTATTAATTCCAGTTTCTTTTATTAGTCTGTAAAGCTGTCTTGTGTTCCCTATAGTCGCCGCCTTTTCCATCTCTTTTGCTTTCGTTACCCACCACTGCTCACGGTCGTTCCTTAGACTTTTTCTTAACCTAGATCTGATTTGTTTACGCTCTTCATCATGTTCAGAACCTGATGGGACGAGTTTGCGAGAATCCATCAGTGTGACAGACCTTGAAGAAATCCACTGGTTCCTTGTAACTCTGTGGTTTAAGTCACTAATAGATGTCACTGCTGTTTCCACAGCTGATTGTATGCCCTTCCAAGCAACATCTGGGTCAGCCTCGTCTTCACAACTACCTAAGTGTGACCTCAGTTGTTCCTGGAACCTACTTTTGGTTTTCTCGTTACTCAACTCAGTTCTAACGGGTCTTTTTAATGTGGCTTTTTTGCGTCCAGTGAGGCGCAAGCAGATGCGTGCCCGTATTAGGGCATGGTCGGAGTCCAAGCAGGTACTCCAGAATGAGCGACAATCTTCTACCGACCCTCTCCAACGATGACTGATGGCAATATGGTCTATTTGAGTCCATCGTTGGTTTGGTGTAGGGGGTCGCCATGTTAGACGATGTCTCTCCTTATGCTTAAAATTTGTGTTTGCTAAAAATAAACGATTGTCTGAGCATAGCTGCAGCAGACGATCACCATTATCTGTTCGCTGTGTCGGAATACTAAAATATCCACCTAAATGCCTTTCTGTTTGGTTTAAACTACCTATCTGAGCATTAAAATCACCTGCTACGAGTACTATGTCTGAGCGTTTAGCTTTCTGAAGAAGTTCGGAAGCTTTCTGTAAAATTCATCTTTCACTTCATCTGAGCTGCAGTCAGTGGGAGCGTAGGCAGAAACGACAAAAAGGCAACGACGTGTGTCCCTATCCTTCCGAGTTCTTACGTAGCCGTTCAGCCGAACAGCACATAGACGACTGTTGACGGGGATCCACTCTAGCAGTGCTTGTTCGGCCCTCATGCTTAGTGCTATGCCTACACCTGCCAGTCCACGAGAACTTGCCATCGGGTCACCAGATACACGAAGGGTGTATCTCGTTGGCTCTCCGTTTGCCGAGGTGAGGTCAAGTGAATGACCACACTGGAATCCTGTATGCGTGTTTCGGAGACACAGCATACATCAATGGAAAGAGACTCTAGGGTTTTAGCCAAGGAAGCCTGCTGACCGATTTGACATAGGGTGCGTACGTTGAAGGCTCCAATGTGTAGTTTGGAGCGAGGTTTCAGTAGACCTGGGACAGTGTTTTGCGCACTAGAATCGTTGGCTATGGTGACACTTGAGGTGGAAGCCGAGAGAGGAAATTTAGAGTTGAAAGTCGATGTAGGAGGAATAATAGGAATTGAAGAGGAGGTTGATTATGAATACAGTGGTATTGAGTGCTGTTAGAGGTATGAGGGCGGTTATCACTTCCCGGTTGCCCACACCGTGGAAGGGTTGTTCTGGAGGTACCTGAAAAGGAAATTGGATTAAAGGTGGTCTTAGTGACCTGAGAGCGTGACCGCAGTGCCCAAGGGACAACTGCTTGAGGTCGGTCACACACGACCTTTTTATGGGTAATTTTTGTGTTAGCTCCGTACTTATTGAGACCTTACCGCCGGAGACGGATATCCGTGGGATAAGGCGAGGTGTGCATTTTTAGGGTCGACCTTTTCTAACCCCACCCCTCCTTGTGGGAAGGCAGCATCGCTGTCATGCTGGTTGTCTGAAGGAAACACCTTACTGCTGTCACACCTCTGTACAGTCAGCAGTACGACATCGCCTTCGGACCTTGGGTTTGTTGCTTTTAGTCTTACCGCTCTTCAACCGACCTGTCTGACATGGTAGGACCTTGAGGAACGGTTGTTCCAGCCAGTATAGCTCGGTTGCTTCATCACGATAGGCAAGCCCGACCACCACGTCAAGGTAGCAACAACGGTCGTAACGGACGTAACAACAATTCTTTAAGTCGACGTTCAGCAGCCGCAGCAGCTTCAATACGGCGCTTTAATATAGCTTGTTGCCGTTCGCGCACTGAAACCATACGAGACATTTCACATTGAAGCCGGCGATCATGTTCTTGAAGTTTTGTCACCTACATAAAATGATCAAAATTATATCACAAAAGCTTTAAAAGATTATCTGAATAACAGTCGAAGAGTGTCTTATTAAATAGGATTTCTTGAAACTTATAATTTAAACATTTGACGAATAAGGTGATTTAAGTGACTATTACGCATATTCAGCCCACTAAGAATAAATTGAAGTGTGATAAAATAGAGTGGCACGCTGAATTTACAAATTCTAGGGGTTATTGAACTTAGATTGGCTAGTAGGCAAAAACATGTTGGTAAGGGGATTCACAGTTTAATCATGATTTAGTTCAGTCAGTCAGCTATAGCATATGACCAGGCACATATATGCATCGATCCAAATTGCCATAATTACTTAGCACAACAAGATCAACACCGAATTCATAGAAGCAGTTACTTCAATGGTAGTAATATATTCGACAAAAGATTGCGTGAAAGGATATGACACAGGGATAAATAATTGGTTCGTACAAATAAAGTAATTTTAATCTCATGGTTTAAGGTCAGACCTTCGCCATTGTGATCGACTTTGAGTCATAACACCCAGGGTCTCCAACCACCGGTTATAATAGTCGCGCGAATCCCAACCAAATAGTCAGCATCTACAAACATGGCTCAGACCAGAAGTTAGTGACTTCAAGGACTGGTGCGACGTTTTGGTTTGAACGCCCCTAACTTTCTCTCATCCATCCCTAACACTAGTCAGCTTTGGGCACCGTGGTAATCGATGTTCAAGCATACGAAATACGTGGCCCAACCATTTCAGTCGATGTAGACTGACAATCTCATCAACTGATTTACCATCATCCCTAATACGCTGGCGTCTAACCTCATTATTACTTACCTGGTGATCCCAGTAGATACGAGCAATATCTATAAGACATCTGTGGTCAAATAGTAGTACCTTATGAGTATCCTCTACCCTTAATGGCCACGTTTCGCTGGTCGCGATATGATCAATTTGAATCCAGGCTTGAGATGCGACGGGGGGCGCCAGGTAGCACATCGACGATGACTGTGCTTTGATTGGATTGTGAAAATCAGTGAATAGAATGCTTATCGATCGATGGATGCAATGAAATGAAATGTGATCGAGTAATACCGATTCACGAAAATGTCTTATTGATTTGAGCCCCAAAATGATTCGATATCAAAGATAAGACCACTAAGCTAAAAGAATAGGTATATTATGTAATAAAACAACATGCTTTACATACTAAATATGGGCATAAAATAAACATAATCAAAATATCATAAAGAATTAATGGAAATTAACTTGAAGGTTACTCATTCACCAATAGATTGAGACCTAACTGTTGAGCCTAATCTTTACGCATTATAATGAGGTGGGTTTCTTTCGTTCATTTGAATAATTTTAAGTCATTTACCATAAAGTACATATTTATTTATTCCAGTGAGAAGAGAACTTTTAGAATGAGAACTACTGATACTACTACTTATTTATTTTACTAATTTGTTTAAACACATAAACATTGATACAAGAAAATGTCAAACATATATGCTTCATATAGATGACACAATTTCTGTGAGAGTACCAAAATCGAAACAGGTGATTCTCTTGGGGGGTGCGCACTCTGAGCCTTTGCCCTAAAGGTCTAATCTACAATGCAGTAGAGCAACGTTAGGAGAGGCAGTCCCATGGTAACCGGTGACCAACAATACGTTCATATACCATTTGTTCCTTCAAGATCCTGGAGCCCATGTTCACCAGTCGTTTGGAATCAGGCTTTCCAGATCCCCTAGATGGATTTTCAATATCCACTGACTTTATTATAGTGCCGGATATTTGCTTTTCATCCACTCGATTTCTTGAACAACAGTAATGCTGCGAGAAGGAAGTGGGTAGGACTTCCATGTCAGTGATTGTATGCACATGACCACTTGAGAGCACTTCGAGAAAGAGAGACGACACTCCCCATTGTTGGCCCAACCAGGGTATTTGGAGGCTACAAGTATTTACTTATAGTTATTTTCAGATAATTGGTCAAGTTTCTTTGAACCATTAATTTGGTAATCTTAATATTAGGCATAGAGTGTTAAATATATATTCAAGTTAGATCTTCGTCAACGGAGTTTTATATACAACATGAACAATTCAGACAACACCTACGCCGTAGTGCTAACCTGGATAATGTACATATATGTTATACGACATTACCCTCCACCTATAGAGTCATTGACTCTTACTATAAACAGTGTAAAAACATATTGACTATGAATTTGAAAGCTGGAATACAATCGTGTCCAATATTTGAGGAAATTATATGACAGACAGTCACAGTGACACAGATTCATTCACTGAGTACACTTTCGTCAGTTTTGAATATAGGATTATTATATATTTTGAATTTGCTGATTCTAATTGTTTCTTACCAACGCCTTTTAAATTTTTAACTTTGTTCCAAGCATTTTATTCACTTACAGATATGAGATAAATTCACATTTAATGTCATGCATCATACAATTCTGCTTTAAACAGGTATCTAACTTGGAAGCTGTCTAACATTGTAAGTAAGTTATTAATGATGTTGACGTGAATTGACATACTTGATCAGAAGATATAAAACATGTATATAACTATCAAATATAATAATACATTGTAGGAGCTGAATAGATAAATAGATCCTTTCAAGGTGATTTGAATAACAGCTACAGATTGATGTGTGGTCGATGCTACTTATATCAAGAATTATAAGTAGTATGTAACACTAATTAGAAGTGGAATGGTTAGCAGTAGAAGATTGAGAAGATCGAATTGAAGAAAACAGGGATAGTAATATCAATAGTAATAAAAGTAACGTTCAAACACAGAGAATATGGTGTGAAAAGAAAAAATGAATTCGTGAAATAACGATAATGTTAATACTACAGATTGAACTGAGAGACAGTAACGTCGATCTTGATCAGTGTCATTTAAGATCTTCATCTAATGAATGAAATTGTCTCACGTTCAATAAAATAACGAAATCCACCTCTTCATAAACAGCTCAGATCAATAGCCAACATCGTTTAAAGAATTGTAAATAATTTTTATCAACTGAGGTGGTTGAGACATGCGTATCGTATACCTAACCACTGTCTGCCTCAACAGGACATGTTGTCTGGTGTAAGAATAGGATGAAACAAAGATGGGGGTGCACAAACAAAACATATGGCATCTGTCCATGAAATCACTCACAATAAAAATAAGTCATGTTTGTACGTGTAGACTGCCTGGTTGGGGTCTGCATGATCATCGAAATCAGTGGTTACAGACTTCGAATGACATGGCTCAGAATCATTTGTTTCTGCCACAGCTTCATTCGTTCTTCGGTTTCATCAAAATTCTAAGCTTCTGAACTACTCATAGTGTCCTTGGCTTTCATTTTACTGATTTATATTTTCCTGAATCGTATCTTCGATGCCTAGTCTGTAGCGTCTAGTACTATTTCACACCAACACGAGTTGTTCTAGCTTTCAGACAAACCGTTTAATTTATTCTTCCTACATCACATTTTGACCTTTTCAATTATTAACTCAGCAATCCTGACTGATTTCAATTGAGCGTGTGTGTGTGTGCGTTGCTCACCCTATTCATCACATGGCTTCAACTTATTTTCGTCTGGCTATAGATATTGAATCATACTTGATCAAATTGTTTTGGCGCACTTGCATTCCCCAGTCTGCTTCACCACCTCGTTTCTCTTATTGTCTGTCTCGGATAACCAGTGTATAAAATATACCTTGTCAAACTTCATTCTCTTATTTGATTTATTCTGTTATTCTGTAACGCGACTTAAGTCGATAATTATATGAGAGGGTAGGTTGGATGTATATTTTATTAACATCATCGTTCGACCAAATTGGAGTCAGACCAATAGGCCACTAAGTCTTTTCTGTTACCACTGTTACTGTAACTACTCCTACTACTCTGAGATCCGCTCTAACAATTTCATCTTGCAGTGCAAATGAAGTGTTGCAACTTGAACCGATATACATATGTACAAGGTTTTACGTTGCGACTGACTAAATGACTGATAGAGTACTATTATCAATATAATATGAAAACTAACCTTGGATTGATTGGTTTCATTGGATCATCTAATAGAGCAGAAAAAGTATGACCAATTGATTCACTTAAAGTATTCAGATAAGAACCACCCTTGAAAAACCAATGACGACAAAAAGTTTAACAACAACAATAACAAGTGACAGTAATATAAGCAAATTAAAAAGAATTCACAATCGAATGATAGGAACTGGAACTACCTTTCATTCATTCAAAGCACAAATAATTTAAAGAAAGCTATGAAGTAAATTAATAGTATTATTTTCTACTCCCACTCAAGACCTTCTTACGGCGAGGGTTGTTTTTATGAAAATGAAAAGACGACAGGCAAATGTACAGCACTTCAATCGGGTTGTTGAATAAAGAGTATTCACCTACAGAAATTGGAAAACTCTGATTCAAAACCAATGTTGTGAATGAACTCCAGTATCCTGAGGGAATCAATTGTGTTTGAACCTATTCTTAGTCACCAGCTACCATGGAACCACATTTCACAACCCTACTCCACCACCTTATGGATTGAATCTCTAGATCAAAGACTTGGGGAGTGGCCCTCTAAGAAAACAATCTGCTTTGGTTCAGGCAATCAAACAGTATTCCAGCCCATATACGAATTCAATGATAACTAATTTGTATGGCGTATAAATATTAGAGTTGCCAATGTACCAATATTTATATGTTCCAATAAAATAAAATAAACAATGATAACTAATTTGTATGGCGTATAAATATTAGAGTTGCCATGTACCATATTTATATGTTCCAATAAAATAAAATAAACAATTTTTTCGAAAGTAATGCTTTATTCTATGAACTAACAGCAGTCCAAGCAACATGAACACAGAAATTTTACTTCTTATTTTATGGTACCATAGAATAGTGTGCACGACAAGGATGAAAACTGTGCAAGAAATTGAAAACATTGTCAACAATATACAATAAAATACATAGATTTTCAGAGAGTAGTTTCGAACCCGAGCTTATATATATATATATATATATATATATATATATATATATATATATATATTGAATAAATAAATAAACTTGTCATAATGACAATCAGAAGTAGCCTAATTAGAAGATCAATCGATGGCAATCAGAAGTGACGTTGCGGACAAGTGCACTTCATTGGCTAAGAATTGGACGAATTTACTTGAAATTAGAGTGGTATACATATGAATGAGTATTTGTGCATTTTATTCTGTAGTCAAATACACTTTGTCGCTCAAGTAGTCAGTTAGGAGTGGGGGGTTAGTACACTGTGTAATAATATCAGATTTTGAACACCGTTCATCACAACAACAGTTGTCAAATCTCTGTTCTTCAGTCTCTTTCTTGTTTGCTTATTTTTGTGCCCAACAATATACTTACTTAGTTTATGATGATAATATGTCCAAGCATTTTACGAACTTGTGACATGTTACATTTACCTATTGTAATGTGCCAATAATCTTATATGTTACTTTATTGATTTTGTAGGCATACTGTTTAGTGTCCGTTGATAATTTCTAAAACTGGTCAATACAGATATGTACTGTATTTTAATTCATAATATCTGTTGTAATTTAGTTAGTGACTAACTATTTGAATGATTTGCTACCTTTAAGGTTGTATTCTTAACATCTGAATATCTGACTTGTATCAATAATTGTTGTCATGATTACTACAGTTGTCAAATAAGAAATTGCATGTACCGATTTCGAAACTTTGTATATCACTTGAATCTTCAAAAAGACTCGATAGTAGTAATATGTACATTCGTCATATTTAGGTCAGATGTCTCACGCCGTTTATAAATGAAGGGGATATGAGTAAAGCAGTTATTAGTTTCATAGAGAGGAACTACCATAAGATAATAATAATAATAATAATAATATAATAATAGTATTACTAATAAAAGTCCTTAATATGTTAATGGAGTGCTTACTTACCACAGGACAGACGAATGAAGAATCATATCCAGCGGAAACAAGTACTAATTCCGGATCAAACTGAGAAAGAATGAAAACAGAATCAATAGACAGAAAACTGTTAGTCAACGAAACTGGCATAGTAGCCAACAAAGATCAACACAAAAATTAAACTGATCTCTACAAAACCCTTTCAACTAAAAATATAGTTATTGGACCTACTTCATACACTTATTTTAAATACGGGAAATCTCTACAAGTGATCTAGATAGAAGTGTAAGACAAATAGAAACTTTTTAAGTTGTTTTTACAATGGCTACTTAGCAAACTGGTAAGATGTAATGATCGTTCATTGTAATCGTGCTACTATAACTGACTTTAATTGAAACTTGTGGTTGTCGATTTGACTTGACACACTTTGCACATGGATCATATTTCTTTTTGCCACCTCTTGAGATTAAGCTGAATAAAGTAGTTCTTCTTTTTGAAACATCTTTCTCACTAAGAATTATATCAAACTTCATTTCCAGTGTTCGTTTGCCTACCAAAGAACGAGTTCACTACCGCTTAGTTTGTTCATTTCCACTCTATGATTGAGGAACGTGGTCTTTAGGAATAGATGTTCGTAGGTGATTAGCGACGACCTATGCTCCTTCGCGAGGAGTAACAGGCGTAATTAAAGTAAGTCATGTATACCTTCAAGACATTTCTCGTGCATGTTAGGACTGACGAGTAAGCAACAGTGAGGTAGAGATGACAAATCAGTTGATGGAATTGTGAATCTTGATCGACTGAGTTAATTGGGATATGTATTAAGTGTGCTCAACCATTTCATACTGTGATCTGCAATGTTTGCTGGTAAAGGAGCAGTTTGGAGGAGAACTAGGAATGACTAAACTATGACTAGATTTTAGTATACCTATGACTAAACCTCACATCGTGTCAAAACAGAGAAAATTGGGCACTTATTACACTATGCTCACAGTCAAAGTTAGTTGGGGCATGATCTCGTAGCAAGTCATGCCTATGTGTTATTGAAATGGAATTTTCCACGTTCTAATGGATATGTGATATAATTGGTATAGTTGAATTATGTCAAGAGTGAGAGAGCTGTCACTGATGTCAGTAGATGATGATCATAATATACCAGATTTGTGTATTACATCAATTATGAACAATTAATTTCGATCGTATGATTCTTCCCTTTATTTGTGAACGTAGTGTGCTCTCATTGATTGATATATTTCGATGTGCTCGGCCATATTGAACTGGTCGTTGGAGTAATGAAAAACGAAGCGACGCAGTGAAGGTAGACGAGCCTATTCGATTTGATTAAGCATGATAACAAGTAGGCCTGCTCGAGCATCTGGGCTACCTGTTCCTGCCATCTAGACATTTCACCAAGTTATCTATTTTTGTTTGTTCTAATATATCATTATGTCTATTAATCGCATAAGCTATCCTGGTGCCTTTCTGAAAAGTGTACATGTAGCACGTACTATTAGCGTTTATCTGCAAGCAGGAGCGATCTAAAACACAACACAACAGTCAGGACCGACAGATGCTACTCAAGTGAGAACACGGCGTACGTGCACAACAGAGATATATATTTAAAATTGAATTACGCGGTTTAAGTACAAAAAAGGGAAGTCCATTACAAAATGGTTTTACTCATTATCCCGCAGGTTTAATTTGCGCAAGCTTTGTTCTTCTCCTTCTAGTACGTTCACTTTCTGTTGCCCTGAAACAAGGAAAACAAACTTGCATCAGTAAAGTCACACGTAATGGTTTTTGATACTGATACATACAACCTTTCGTTGTCAAAAAATACAGAAAGCTCAATAAGTGACAATGTGGTTGCTGGCAATGTACAACGAAAAGAATGTTCATTTACTGTACTGCTAACATCTAACTGGCGATCACTCAATATATATCGTCAGGACCGACCAAGAAGAAAGAAACAGAAATTTGTTGAAATACTTTGCGCTGAGAATTCTATATTGTACCAAAAATATAATATTGAATAAAGCTTATAATAATAATAATGATTAAGTATCTATACCCAGACAAGAATAAGTTGAAGACATGTGATGGATAGGGTAAGTAATGTACACACACGCTCATTATAAAATCTGACATGAAAAGAATGAATAAAGAGGTCTGTCAGAAAGCTAGAATAACCCATGTGAGTTTGATAATAATGTCCTGGTAAGGCCGAGAGTGGGGAGAGTCCGCTGTCCTTCTCCAGACGCTCTCACATCGCAACGCGTGTTGGACCAAAAAGTGGACTTAACATTCTGCCTCCAGCCGTTTTACCTTCGATTAATGATAAATACTACTTGTATTTGTCGAAATCAGTAGCACACAACAAAATACCTGTTCCCTACCTCCTCTTTTTTGTTAGTCATTATGACAAGTTTATTTATTCAATATATATATATATATATATATATATATATATATATATATATAAGCTCGGGTTCGAAACCAGCCAGACAAGAATAAGTTGAAGCCATGTGATGAATAGGGTGAGCAACGCACACACACACACGCTCAATTGAAATCAGTCAGGATTGCTGAGTTAATAATTGAAAAGGTCAAAATGTGATGTAGGAAGAATAAATTAAACGGTTTGTCTGAAAGCTAGAACAACTCGTGTTGGTGTGAAATAGTACTAGACGCTACAGACTAGGCATCGAAGATACGATTCAGGAAAATATAAATCAGTAAAATGAAAGCCAAGGACACTATGAGCAATTCAGAAGCTCAGAATTTTGATGAAACCGAAGAACGAATGAAGCTGTGGCAGAAACAAATGATTCTGAGCCATGTCATTCGAAGTCTGTAACCACTGATTTCGATGATCACGCAGACCCCAACCAGGCAGTCTACACGTACAAACATGACTTATTTTTATTGTGAGTGATTTCATGGACAGATGCCATATGTTTTGTTTGTGCAATCAGAGTGTAGTATTTATGATAAGGAGTCATGTGTACCATTGAAATACCCATGTACGATGGAGCATGGGCTGAATACGCTCTCTCTCTCACGAAGTGCTTTCAGATGACCACGTGTACATAGCGACTGCAAAGGAAGACCTAGCCACTACACATGTACTTACATCAATATCAGTCACTACCGTAAAGGGTAGACTGCATTCTACCTTATGATAAATACGTTTACTGAAAAGAACGGCAACAACAGAAAGAGTATCTAACTTCATTATGGACAAACTTAAATTCTTTTTGAATTCACTGATACTCTAAGATGTTTGAATATCAAACAAGTAGTAAGGTGATATGTGCAACCGTTCGAATGCACTAGTAATCACTAAAAGTTATACATGTGATAACAAATGAACATGCAGCTTGGAAAACTTTCACATGAGAGGAAACTGACGAAATTAATATTCATTTAGGTAAACAGGGTTTGTAGAGATTATTAAGTTTGAAAGAATAGCATCACAGACTCAACTTAAACAACTATTGAAAATCGAAAGGCAGTAAACAGCTGTGTTTTCATGGTATGGGACACCTCAATGGTACGTATTCGTGACCCGAAAAGAGGAAATCGAAACCAGGACCTTTGGTTGTACGCGCGAGCCCTTCAGATTTTGAATGCTGAGCCGGAAGCCAACAGTGCACCTGTCTAGCTTCAACAGATTCACTATGGTATATGACTATCTTCTATTGCCTGTCGTGGATAACTGTCTCGAAATCAGCATGGTTGGAATTCACCAGTCATAACTTCTCACCAGTGAGCACAGGATTATTGTTGCTACACGGATTTTGTGGAAAGATGAAAAATACATGAAGTATCCCACTTAATAAGAATGTTTACACAAGATACTGATTAGCTCGAAAGTGCTTTAAACATTTCACTGTCTTTCTGAGTTTTGAGGAAACAAATATTATCAATACTGTATTTCCGGACCATTCATAACTTTGACAACGAAATGTTCACTACTAACAATAATAAACTATCTACTCATGAGTAAAAACTCTCAGTAAACTTACTGCAGCTAATGATCTTATCGTCATTAATTTATCGTGCTGAATTTTACAAGCATCTCGTAGTTCAGCATTTTCTTTTTATTAACTGGTCAATGTTTTCATTAGCAGCTTGAAGCCGAGATTGAATGTCTTTCATCTAGACATGAACAAACAACGACAAGACACTAGTAAGTACGTGAATAGACTAGTAATGGTGGTTAGTATTTCCTCACAAATGTTTTGCAACAAAGAATGATAAACTAAGAGTGGAATTAAGGGGATAATAAATCGCGTGATCAGAATGGGAGTCTGTGCCGTTTGGTGTGCCTGAAATGTGTCAGGCATGTTCAGCCATCGACTGTACGGCACTTGAGTAGATTGAGAAAGAAGTTTAATATGATTGGACCAATGAATAGCATCTGGAACATAGACAGTATCAACAAACATGGCTCAGACCAGAAGTTAGTGACTTCAAGGACTGGTGCAACGTTTTGGTTTGGACGCCCTAACTTCCTCTCATCCATCTCCAACACTAGTCAGCTTTGGGCACCGTGATAATCCTTCTCCAACACTATGCGTTGTATTTTTTGTAAAGATAAATCAACATGAAAGGTATCGTGAAATTTACCAAAATCTCTATATCAATGTGTGGTGCTTGTAGAGATGATCAGGAATAAAACCTACTTTACTTATTATTCTATTCATCCCCCATATATCAGCATAGAGTGTTTACAATCCTGTGTGATTGGGATATACATACATTAATAAGATTAAATCACCTTAATTAACAATTAATGACCATTTAAATTGAAGTGTTAAGTTATTGGCAATCTTTATTGTTTGATATAGTTGATTTCATTTGTTTTGTTTCCCTTCTTGTTTAACACAATAACAGATTACAAATCAAGATTTAGAACATGCTTATAAACAGTCGTCTGATTTTCTAGCTGAATTTCAATCAGATTTTGATACGAAAATCAAAAGAATAACAGATTAAGGGGTAGGATAAGCAAAGTGATAAATATATCCAAAAAATCATTTCACCACGAACTTACTTTATTCGACTCATCAAATAGTTTTATCAATCCAGTTTGGATGTTTTTCAATTCTTGAATATAACTAATCAGTTCAAATATTCATTGAATT